TTTCACGTTCCAAATTTGTCAACTCGAGTAACGTACTCTGACTTACTCTTTCCCCCACTACTCCGGGTTCTTTAGAGTTACTCGGAGTGAATTTTGGAACGCACCCAGGTGTTTTCAGGATAAACCGGATAAACAGAAGAGAGTGACGAATGCGACATCTATGAAGACATCTCTGTGGCAACTACTAGTGATGTATTTACAAATGGCTGTATAATTCAAATATGATTGTCCAATATAAATTAACTAACAATGGCTGCGTTCAGCAGAGAAAGCAGCTTTGCAACTGTTGTAAAATTCTTGAATATGATTGGTTTATACATTTAGATCCAATGAGGAACTAAGGGTAAAGCCAATCATATTAAAAAATTTTACAACAGTTGCAAAGCTGCTTTTTCTGCTGAACGCAGCCATTATTTTGAAGTCTTTTAAAAATATTAAAAAATTTCAAAGTTTATAAAACTCTTAGGCCCGTTTTTATCAATGTAGTTTAATTTTAATCTCGGTTCAATAAACTTTTCATCTTTTTCTAGTTCTAACTTAGAACTTAGCAAGAATTTCAGAGAAATTTCGGTATTATATTTCAGTGATTTTTCAGTATATTAGCTGAAAAGTTCACTTTTAGTGAAGTTTCAGTAAATTTTCAGCAATTTCGCTGAAATGTTCCAAAACGTGGAATAATTTCAGCGAAACTTTTTCACCAGGGAAGATTAATAATTCTATCCATATAATTATAAACAAAATGATACAGACATTGACTGACATTGCAAAAAATGTCACGTTAAGCCTGTGGCACACGATACGTGTTTTCTTAAATTGCTGGATTGCTTGCGTTTTGGTAAATTATTAAAAATTCTGCGTTCTGTGTGATATAATTCTAGTAATTTACTAAATGCATGCAATCCAGCAGGAAAACACTTAAATCGAGTGCCACAGGTATTAATTTGTGTATGTCATAACAGCGTGTCACAGTGAGGTGTAATTTTTACTACAGTTTCATGATGTCATAGCGATATCACTTGTGACAAAGTGGACATTTGCACGTCACCATGATTTCATTGTGATATAACTATGACTTTCTTTTGTCATCGGGATTAATTACCAAAATATATCTTAGATTAATAAATTATACATATCGGTATACGTTTGACATAATACGTACATGTGTTTTACAAAATAAAAACCAACAAGACAATTGCTCTTCATACGTACATTTACAACTAACGTTAAATATCTAAATAAATATATTTGATCAAATTTTGATGGCGACTATACTGTAATCATTGTAACAATCAATATGATACATTCAATTGGAAAGGTGTGAAGACAGTATATCATATCGCTATATGTATATCTTCTAAGTTTAATATCATATGTGAAGAGTAAAGAAAAGAGATAGAGAGTGAAATATTTCGGCAAATAAGATTACGTGAGCGATAAGATTACACGAATTTTTAACTCGGCCTACAGGTACGACAAGCGTCATCTTGCATTGAGACTTCAACCGAATCGATTTCCACTATGCCAGGTGAGTAAAAATTTCTCTAAAATATATTAAAATAAGATATAAATTTTTTTAATTTTTCGGCATTTATAAGATCTCTGCTTTCTTATTCACTTCATTATTCTCTAACTTTTTATCGATATTTGCATTGAGAATGTTTTACCAAATGTCGTTTCTTGTATTTTAATCATTTTATTACTAAAAATAAATTTGATATTGAATTTTAAAACTCGAATTCTATTATAGTCTGGATAATGTAAATTTAGCTAAAGGATCTGGATAATTAAAGTCTAATTAAAAATCTAGTTATAGAATGTATAGTTGCTATTTTTTAAAACTAATTTTCTGAAATTCAATAAATTATAAGAGCAGATTAATCTAAATCAGATTAATCTAGTTTAAACATTTAATAATAACATAAAAATAAAAAAATTATTTTTTTACGATTTAATAACTTAAGGTTGAATAATTCTGTGACGTATTGCATGAATATACATATGCTTACTATTTGTGTAATATTTGCATTGCATTTACATATTAAATTATAGTTACTATATCAGCTATATCCATTTAAGTATAAAAATAGTTGTACATAATTTATTTTTTTATCAGAAGTGCAAAAAAATCCACCATTAAATATATAGTTACTTTATTTTTAAAGTATGTGAGTCATACAGATTATAAAGATAATATGTATGACATGTGAAATCATCGATTACAAGAACCATCTGAAAGTCTTATCATATTGATGACAAAAAGCATGTGTTAGTATCAATGTATTATAATATTACGTAACATACGTATTCGTTTTATATACTTATTTATGATATCCGCGAAATTGTGCAAAATAAGATTATATCATTTAATAGAATTAAATATTTCATTATTACATACAGCGTTATCAAAATCATCATGATGAGTATCAATTAGATTAAATGATTATTAAAACACAGATTAATAATTTTCTTTGCAGATATGTCTAAAATTTAAACAAGCATATAAACTATATAGTATATAATCTAAAAAAATGTGTATAATTTCGTACAATATATTTTTATATTAGAACAAAACAAAATGAAATATTGAAACAACTTTATTAAAAATAACTTTTTAAATAATTTTTTTTTGAGAGAGAGAGATATATCTATATTAATATATATTATTTTAAATTTAAGAAAAAGATGTTTAACATAAAAAATATATAAATTTTTATACTTTTTCTTATTTTTTTTTTTTTAATAAATTTTTTATCAAGTTAAATATTTTATGAAGTATTAAGTTACATGAAATTTTCATTTACCAACAAAATGAAGTCGAGAAACTGAAGCTTGATAGAACCGAATCATACTAATATGTTAATATAACGATACCGATTTTCCTAATAATTTCATTATTATAGCCTACAGATGGGTAAGTCGTGTCAGTAGTCAATCGCTGCCAGAAAACGCGATCATCGGCGGTCGCGACTCTGACGGAAGTAAACTTTACGTCGGCAGAGCTTTTCACGATGGCGACATGATACCAGCGAAAGTAATTCCTGACAAGGGTGTCGCCTACGTTTGTCACAACGGCGAGGAACATCCAAAAGACAATTACGAGGTGAGTCCAAATAAGCCAGACGAATTTTTTTCTATGTTACGAGAAACCTGACTACTTACGAGATATCATGCTAAGCTTTGCATTGCTTGATCGTCTTATCAGGAATCTCATAAAGTCGCTCAAAATCGATCATAAAATATAATGTATTGAATGTATTCTATTGCATTTTTAACAAAAATTATAGATTGGCTTTAATCGAAGTTTTTTCACAGAAGTGAACCACCAATTTGTTACATTAAAAATTGTATAAATTGGTTTTAACTCATCTCAGAAATCAACAACGATTTCCCTTGATTCTATAACAATGATTAAAAACGGTTACATCATTTTCGTAACTTATATAATGCTCCGTAAATAAGTACATGTGATAACAATCACAGTACAAGATTTATTAAAATTAATCGTATCAATTTTATTAGACTCAAGATGATCTTGAGATATCAAATTTTATTCGGAAATAGTTATTGATCTGATAAAGATATGATTCGGTATAGGTGGCTCGCAAAGATTCGCACGAGATTATTATATTATATTTCATTATCTGATAATATTTGATCAAAGAATAATGATAAGAATAAAAAAACATGTTAAAATTAATTGTCGATGATATTTATAAGTAATTAATTAATTATACCATAGAATGATATTACGATTTTGTCAGGTCCTTGTCCAAGGGGAATTTGCATGGGAGTTCTGCAGCAACGGTGAGGTACCAGAGGATGCAGTAATCGCAGGTCAAACCGCGGACGGAGAACCTCTGTACGTTGGCCGTGTCCTCCATAGTGGATCTCAAACAATTGGCAAGGTTGGTCTTTTCGGCAGCTATTAATCTCAGAGTTCGATAGTAATGATAAGCATACCAAAATATGGAATGGCATTTCGATATTCGAAGCATGCTTGATTTGCCAAAACATATAATACTTGTACTCTGTATTTAGCAAACAAAACTCATTTTTATCTTGCCCGATCTTATTTTTACTATTAGACAAGATATAATCCAGCTGTTCAAAGTACGTTCAACATACATTAGGAACTAGAATTAATATTCTATTCGTCATTGTAAAACAATATAATAATGTGTTAGAACGAGATAAAGACAAGCAAAAAGAATAATGGATGTTAATGATTTTACTTTAAGTACTAAAACATTAAAAACAGCGCTTTTAATACTTAAAATAAATAATAATTACTGTCTTTTAATATTAAGTTTGACATATTAAATTAAATTTCTGTGAGAGTAATTGATAAAAATATAAAAATATAGATAATAAAAATGCGAATTTAATATGTTAATTTAAAATTGCCAAAATATAGGCGAGACACACACACACACACACACACACATTCAATGGTATACTAATAAGTCTTCTCCAGAGGTATAAATAGATATTATTCCGTGAAAATAATTAAGAATGAAGTAGAAAAATTGGAGTCATTATAGATGTACATATATATGTATGTACATGTTTAGTTAGTCGTCTATAATGATTTCAATTTTTCAATTTTCTTCTTAATTGTTTTCGCAGAATAATATCTATTTATACAACTGAAGAAGACTTAATATAGTCGTTTTGCTCGATTACATATTATTTAGTTAAATTTGAATATATTAAATTCACATTTTCATTAACTAAATATTCACTACTTTCGCTCATCTTTGATATATTTTATCTAACAGATGATTACATTACATTAAAAAAAAATAATTCCTCAGGTACAACCAAGTCACGGATGCCTATACATTCCGTACGAAGGCGAGGAGTTGTCGTTCAAGGATTACGAAGTACTCGTTGTACATTAATTCAATTACGGATGTATCCAAAGATTGAAGATGTAATACGCATTCTATATACGATCGAAATTAATTGAGTCAAGCAAAACAACTTCCAAACAGACTGCTGAAATGAACGAAAAATTATTGTGAACAAAATGTTCCGTTTTTAAAATATTTGTAAAAATTTATTGAAATAAAATGATTGATAAAAAAATAATTTAAAATTTTTTAAATTACTTTTGACAAGCAATAAATAATTTGTATCGAGAATAAACTATTACTGAACAAACAATTCGTATTGCTTATTTATTTTAATGATAATTTGCTTATTATTATATTAATTGAGATTATATTTCTTAAATATTAATTAAATACATAAATTAAATATATTGGTATATGAGTAATCTAATCAGTTATTAAAAATATTATAGTTATAATTATACTATTAAGATATTTCCTTCATTCTAATTTAAATGTCTTTCGTGTTTTAGCTACATTTTTGATGGCACAAGATTAAAATGTATAACATATTGACGAAGAGAGTAATCTAGTTAAATTATTATCAATGAACAATAAAATAAAAATCATCTACAAGGCAAATGAGTAAATAAATAATACACTGATGACCTAAAAGTGATTACATCGCTCTGATGGAAACGTGTAGCAGGAGAAATCGTTTCTGTCCATTAAATTCGATAGCTGCGAAAAAAAATCGAAAGTTGCTCTATGTGCTAAACGCGGAATTGAAATCATTAACCATAGTTCCATGGCTGCTACTTGAAAATCCGTAATTTTCAAAAGCGAGAATACAACGAAATAAAATACTTTTGTGGTAATTACCTGCCAGTAGAGAATTTATTGCAATGTATTAGTAGGCTTTTGTCAACGCCGATCGTACCGAATAACCAGTTGGTCACCGCGAAAGAATCATACCTCTCGCGTGCCGCAAGCACGGCCGCCATGATGGCCGACGAGGATGGCTCTTGAGTAATGACGACCACAGACGCACCCTCGTCGGTCGGATATCAAGACAGAGAGTGGGAGAGAGAGGAGGCAAAGAGAGAGAGAGAGAAAGAGAGAGAGGGAGAGGTGCCGGTGACAGCTCTGCATCGAATATTTTATAAGCATCGCTGTGGAATTACGAGCATTACTCACTTGACGGCATCATACGTCAGACTTAAGAGCCAGGGCCGCCTCTAGATGTCTTTCGTCGCTCGGACGCGACCTTGCGGATTTTCGTCCTTTCGATTTTGTGGTACTTCGCCATGTGAACTTGAAGAATTTCGCGATACGCGCACGAAGACTGGACTCAACGTCCGATCGGTTGGGGAACGGACAAGGCGCTTATCCGAGCGAACAAATCGAACGAAAGGCGCAAGAAATTCGACGTGACAACGATGATAATCAGCGATGACAGGACATGCGAAAATCTGCGATTCGCGACCACGAGACGATGAAAAACCGCGTGATGGTGCAACCGCGACTCGACTTGTCAGGCTGTCACTCGAGCGACCGAGTCGCGCGAATAGCTTTGAATTCACCGTCGCAGATAATGGCACTTGGACGGCCCTGTCTAAAATAGGCTCCGACTGTAGAACGCTGGGACCGTGCGTAGTAGTGATTACTTTATCAACGAATTGTCACATTTAACAGCGCCTCGTCGAGTTACGCGCGGCAGCGATTCGACGACGCTGCCTGTTTACGCTCAGTTGCCATCCGTTTGACATCGTCGCGATCGCCGGTAGCCGTTTCCGCTTCGGCTAAATAGATTTCTCAAATTTCTTATTAATAAAATCACGGGCGGCAAGTTGAAAATGTTCTTTACGCGATTGCTTCGAGTTACTCGCTCGCTATTGACAACAGAAGAGGAAATACGTTCGGATAACGCCAGACTAATAACTATCATCATCTAATAGGGAAGAATTTTCGCAACGAGAGGAACGTGTCAAGGACAAATCGAAGGCTGCGTGATCGATCACTCCGGATGGATCGCTAAAGAAGCTTGCGCAACTAAGATCGCACGAGGTAATCGTACGGTTTCGTGAGTAGCCCGTTACGAGTTGTTGACATCATCCGGGCGCGAGAACATTTGCGCTGGAGGCGATAAACTTTGAGAATCTCGGCGTGAATTACCCATCGACGGCTTTCTACAGCCTTCATCATAGTAACGCGCAGTTGGCGGATCATCGAAAATTTAAATTGTTCACGCAGGAGGAACAATGTCTCGTCGAATCGTACGATATATAAAGCCGAAAAAGATCATCATTCGTCGACGTAAGAATAAGTATTCCCTGGGTAGGAAAATGAACACGATAATCATGACACGTCGTTCATTTATCAACATGTCAATGTTGAGACTATTGGATTATTAGACTTTATGCTACGTGAAGAGATTTGGCGGACATAAGGTAGCTCGTTATGCTCCATCGCGGAAGACACTCGCGTGTCAAGGTGATCACCATGTTTTTCGCGTGTCAAGAAAGGAAAACGAGCGGGACAAGCGGGACAATCGCCGAGGAAGAATAGGATTCAGGGAGCGCGGCGGGAGGACCCTCGGAGGCCTCGGGCACCGTCGTCGGGGGCTGACCTTGACCCGAAAACTTCTGCGGGGCGGAATCGGAAGCGACTCGCGGAGCGCTGGTAATCGCGCTCGTGGAGCATTAGCCGCGTGTCGTGCACCGCGGAGGAACCGATTAAGCGCGAACGTCGGCGACGTTGCCCCGAGGGGCCACCGCGTGTGCTTAGTCCCTAAGTGGATGTACATGAAGGCGGATCAACTCGTTGTGCGCTGCAGGAGGCCGATCATAGGAAAGAGCGGTGAGCGAGCGGTGACAGCGCGGCCCGGGAAAGAGGTGGTACGAGGTACGCTGGTGCTGGTGGTGACCAGCGAAGGAAGGAGACAAATAACACCGCCGCGTCTCGTAATGCACGATGGTGCATTAGCCGGGAGTCGCGGGACCACCGTGCGATTTCTCTCGAGCGCGCGCCGAACAACCTGAATCAAAATCTGGACGCCTTCGAGGCATTTCGCGAGCCATTCCTTGGACTGCTACAGGCAGCTTGATGCTATTCAGTCGATCATATACCTGGACAATAGAAAGAGACTGTGACTTTTCTAAAAGAAATCAGTTCAATCCTATTTCTTCTTTGACGTGAAATATGTCAGAGATCACGACAACGATCGGCACGCCCACGGGGCTCACATCGGAGAAGAAACAATCAATCCCCGAAAAGTCTGACAGTGCCGTCACTTGGAAGTCCATGAGCATCCGGCAGAAATGGTCCTTCTTGACCAGCAACATCACCGTCGAGCCGATGATCGCATGCTACGTGATTCCCAGCGTGCTTTCCCAGCTGGCCACTCAGAATCTAATCCTCGAGAAGGCCTGCCGGGTGAACCTGGCTTATCCAGATGAGGTGTGCTCAGCTTTGTCCGCCAGGAACACCACGGGTTACGAGGCGGAGGAGCTCGCAGTTCAGCAGATGGTAGCGCGTATGCAAACTTGGAAGACGCCGCTGCAGAGCGCCCTGCCGACTATTCTGATCCTGTTTATGGGTGCGTGGAGCGATCGCAGTGGCCTAAGGAAGCCTTGCATGCTACTTCCGATCATCGGCGAGTTCTTCAGTAGTGTTACCCTCATTGCTTGCACCTACTGGTTCTACGAGTTACCCATGGAGGTGGTTGTACTGGAATCAGTGTGGCCTGGGTTAGCTGGCGGTTGGTCTACCATGTTTATGGGTATCTTCAGTTATATAGCGGACATCACAACCGTGGAATCGAGAACACTTAGGATTGGCGCGGCCAACGTCTTCCTGTCTTTGGGCGTGCCAATAGGCATGGCCCTATCAGGGATATTTTACACAAAGCTGGGTTTCTATGGTGTCTTTAGTATCGCGATGGTGTGTTATATAATGAGCTTTGTGTACGGTCTAGTGGTTATCAAGGAACCGTCGAGGGTGCTCGCGGAACGCGCGCGGAAAAAGTCCCTTCCAAGCGAGGGTAAGCGGACCTCGTTGTGCGCCTTTGTTCTGGACTTCTTCTCGTTGAAGCATATCAAGGAGACGTTTCGTGTGGCGTTCAAGAATGGGGCGAACAATCGCCAGAAAAGGGTCATTGTGCTCATGGTCGTTGTTATGATTGTGATCGGGCCCCTTTACGGTGAGTAAATGGCCCGAATAAGTCGAGAGCCTTTAAAGAAATATTTTCCCAAGTGTTAAGCAAGGTTATTTCGACAGTTGCATGTAGCGTGTCTTACTTACGATAATAACGTTATGTGAATAACTTTTTGTTCTTAGATCGTTAGACCACCGAGGCGTCGGCAATATTTGTCACAATAATCAATATTCGTCACAATAATCAGTAACTAATAAATGAACATCGCTCTTCAAGGTGACGTATATTAAACAATATATATCGAGAAATTAACACTTATTAATTAATTCTTATTAACTTTTATGTGAATTTATATAAATTCATTCAGTCACACAGATGTATATATTTAAGCACTAAGATTCGCTTCAATCGAAAATAAGTATTTTTCATATTTAATTAGATTTGTTCTTATTGGTCCTACTCTTCTCAATATGTATTGTTTAACATACGTCACTTTGAAACACGATGTTCATTGACTATAGTTATTGGTTATTATGATGAATAATGTCGAAGCCTCGATGGTCTAACCGTGAGGACGCTCGCACTGAATACAAGAGATTCGGGTTCAATTCCCGGCCGAGGTAATATCTTTCGCAGATTTAGGATTTTCTTTAACATCTGATTATGAATATTCTTATTAAGGATGCTTATTAGCATCAAAAAATTATTAAATTATTTGTATAATTTAATAAGTGATATTACTATTTTGCTTTTGCTCATGAGTGCATTTCAAGATCGATCAAAAAAATTTCGGCGCGCTGTATGCAGAGTGTATATAAATTCCCACAGAAGTATGTATTTAAGCACTAAGATTCGCTTCAATCGAAAAGAGGTATTTTTCGTATATTTAATTAGCTGTATAATTGAATTTTTATTATTAACTCTACAATTGATTTTAATTGTGATAATTAAAATCTTGAATTCTCACACCGAATAATACCCTCGTGTGAATTCTGAATTACAAGCAGGTAAAATAGATCTTCTGTATAATTTAAGATGTTGTAATTGCAGA